CAATCACTCTGAGGTGCCTACACCTTCAGACATTCATTAACGCAATCTGGATAGAAACTGACAACAAGGACTCCAACGGCATCGATTAGCAGCCACATTTTGCCGCGTCTTCAGCCAGGCACCACCAGTTCCCCGTTTTGGGGAAATACCGCTTTTACGCCATAGGTGTCAAGTTAGAAAACGTGACCTTGCCGATTGGTGCATTGACCTCATATATCACGCTACAATCAGGACTTGTGGGGCTTCCAGTACTAGAAAAAGGTCCATGACTTCGAGTGCCTCATCCTGGATTGTAATTGAAGTGTTCAGTGACTTTATGTTAGGGATAGGACTTTGTGAGTGTAAGGTGTTTGCCAATGGATGAGATGATTTTCCTCAGTTCATCCGAAAACATTTGCGCCTTCTCACCCCATTTGAAGACGAGAAATATGTCGTCTACACACTCTAGGTCGACAGGTGAGGACAGCACTGCCGTGGCCAATACAAAGATACATCTACTGTAGCTTACTAAAACCAAGGAAAAGGTAGTGAAAACCGTCAAAGCACAGTATTTTTTGGGTGGCTCTGATTTATTCAGAAGCAGCGGTTTTTGACTGACGTTAATTTTTCCTGAGCAAAAAATGACCTGTACTTCATTCTTGCTTCTGACTCACCCATAAGGACTTTTGTTTTGCCAGTAATTGATACTCTGGGAGATTTAAATCGTTTGACCAACAGTGGACCTGAAGTCGACGTCCCGCGACGTCCCCAACATATATTTTGAACTCTACTGGATTTACAATCATTTCGCACTATGTGCGAAGCGAAATGTCAATTTCAAATTGTACACAAGGCACAGTTGGTGGACTGAACTGCTGGGAGGCATTCCCAGGATACATTCTTTTGAGTATTTATGGGTTTTAATTGACGTTAATTTTTCCTGAGCAAAAAATGACCTGTACTTCATTCTTGCTTCTGACTCACCCATAAGGACTTTTGTTTTGCCAGTAATTGATACTCTGGGAGATTTAAATCGTTTGACCAACAGTGGACCTGAAGTCGACGTCCCGCGACGTCCCCAACATATATTTTGAACTCTACTGGATTTACAATCATTTCGCACTATGTGCGAAGCGAAATGTCAATTTCAAATTGTACACAAGGCACAGTTGGTGGACTGAACTGCTGGGAGGCATTCCCAGGATACATTCTTTTGAGGATTTATTTAATCTAATCTCCGGCCAAGGCAGGGAATCGAAAAAAACGAGTTCAAAAGTGAAATTTGCTTAGTTGCACATTACCATGTCCTGCTATCAACTCATTTGAGAACATGTTGAAATGAGCAACTCCTTTAAAAACATATATTAGATGATGGAAAAAAACTGAATCGGTTTCCCCCGTGAAAGAAGACATTAAACCCATTCGTCAAAATGTGACTCAGCCAAACGTAAACAAGTTCTTATCGGGAAGGATTAATTATAATGCCATTAGGATCTTCTTTATATCAACGGTATTTTGAGGTATTCCATAATGTTTGGTGTATCTGCATTCCAACTTTGGACCCTTTTGAATTACAGTCTAGGAGATAGATTATTCAAATTCCTGGTCTGGTTTGTGACGATCTCCACTGTTTGCTGATCGATCACTTTTGCACTGAGTTACTGGGATAATGTTCAGAACACAAAGGTATCTCTTAAATAATGATTTGCGGTTGGCTTTTTAATGTGGATGTTTTCATGTCTGTTTAACAGCCTTTCCCTTGTACGCCCTGGGAAGTACCTTGATCGTACTTTCTTGCCAATACCCTACCTAGATGAGTGCTTCAGGGTGTGCTTTATTTTATATGACAGGGTTTGTTTGTATATAGATATGTTTTACCAGTAATTACAAACTGACATGATGAGTGCTTCAGGGTGTGCTTTATTTTACCAGTAATTACAAACTGGCCTCCATTTTCCTAGGTCATTTTGAATTGATAGTTTAACATGTAAATTTCACGGCTACCCTCATAAATTACCCTCATGTTACTCGCAACTTTATCTTCCCCAGATTAACGTAACGCACTCTGTACATGATACTTCTGCATTCGCGAAATTAGCGTTACATCCATCCGCGAAAGAATATAAAATGAGGAATTATAGGACGCATTTATTCGCGTAGGCTTTTACTTTTGTCCAACAGGATCCGTATAATGTTATATCCCTACCTCTGTCCCGTATTCGTCGCCGTCGACAGTTACCTGTGACTTTTAAATAGAGCTTCAGTGCGACATGTTAAAGCGCGACCCCATCTGAGAACTTGGTAGGGTACGATTTGTTTGTGGCAGTGGAGAAAATAATTACTGGTGTTATCCACATGTATTTTGTTTTCATTTCCCCGAATTAATTGAATAGCTTTTCAAAACATTAAAAAGGTTCAAACTAAAGCCACGTAATCATCATACCTGCCAATTTCTGTCCTGCTTGAATTCGACGCAACGAGTAAGAACCAATGAGCCCTCGTTGAGAGCTCTATACTTTCAACTAATTTTTCTAGACTACCTCCTGAAACTGAATGTTCTTCAAGGATGGCTGAACTGAAATGCTGAAATGCTGATTTATTGTCCTGTTGTGAGCAGTTATTAATCACTGGTGTTTTCATCATCAGTGAGTTTGTACTATTTGACTTTATCAAATTGAAAAGAAATCTGGCTTTCTTGCTTTTCAGTGCCATGAAGACTAAGAAACCTGATGAAATCAATATCGTGGAGATTTCCTGCGCTTAGTCAATGCACACTGAAAAGCCGAGAAGCACTGCACAGTTGTTTCCTCCTTAGTGGGAATCATCAGCAGTGCACATCTCAGGAAACTCCGGCGAGTCTCGAACCTCCGACCTCCCGGCTAGTAGTTTAAACACTTGACCGTTCGGCCATTTAGCGGCTGATTACTTCGCACTCATTCAGGATATAGCGCCGCTCATCATCCAATCACGGGTTCCAAATCTCGCTGGCACACGTGTTGACTGGCTCCTCTAACAGCAAATTCTCAGATGGAAGTTTCACTCAACGGGTGAAGTTTATTCGTCCGCCTAGCTACTCATAGATTTTTGTTATTGTGAGGAGTTTTGGGATATGTTGTGCAGAAATTTCGTCCTGTAAGGGGCGCTAAACTTTACTGGAAGTCGCGGGTTCTAGACTCTTTGGAGTTTGGTAAGATGCGCACTGTTGATGATTCTTACTATGGATGAAACAAGTGTTCAGTGCCTCTCGGGTTTATAGCATAGATTGACTTCATGTACAGGATGAAATCTCCACAAAAAGACCCAAGTCCCCTCGCACTACCAACGAAGTTATTACCGTTCTATGGTATTGCTGTGAAAGCTTATTCTATATTGACTTTTTTCCCTCGTTGATCATTCTAACTATGAATGGACACTAGCTATATATAAGGAAAGTCCCTGTGTCGTTAACACAAGAATTCTAGTACGTTGGTCACTGCGTTATTTTATTTTAACTAACGCAAATTATGCCATTTGTTAATTTGTCTATTTAATATACTAATAAATTTCCAAAAGGCCGGTCTATTAAAGTGAATTTTCCTCAATTGTATTGAGAAGCTGCACGACAATGTCCTCTACAAATTCCGGAAAATCAGTGTATACTGAGTGTGCACTTATGCGCAAAAACTTTATCCGCCTTCGGTAAGCCAAGCATTTGGCCTAATCCATTAAACTCAACTCATCAAGGCAAACAACGATTGTTTTAAGAGCAGAATTAGTTTTGTTTGTTCAGCAGGTTAATGACTTTAACATGCTCTGGCAGCCAGCTGCTGGGGTAGGCGCAAATCGACTACAAAGCCTGACACTTTTCCATTTTATCCAGAGAGGTCTCGCTTGTTTGATGAAGCGTGGTCAAGTGTTGATAGGAAAAGTGCGATTATCGACAGCGGGCATTTTGGGGGAAATCATGTGGGTTTGGGCGGAAAAGTAAGTGGAATATCACACCACTTCGTCTGGCTTCACTGCAAGAACACGTTTAATGCATTGCATTTCTAGCCGCATGCCTCGGAAAGGATAAGCAGGTTCTCGCTGTCTGTTGTGTTAATTCTGTCGATCAGTAAGTGTTTGCCCAACGAGTCGCAAGTCACTGAACCGATTGACAGAATTAATTTTAACAAACACAAAAGAGATTTTTCGCCAAATGTTGTTCCTCTTTGTACTAAATCACCCCCTCCCTCAGGAGACCAGCCATTTCTTGACAGTCAGATAGAAATCAATGAGTTGACTGGGCTGCCCAACAAGAACGGTGAGATACTGATGAATTGCGTGCGAGATAACAGTTGAGCTATGTTTCGGCAGTGTTAGAATATCGTTGAAAACAAACAACAAGTTAGGAATCAGAAGACAATTTAATACGAGGTCTTATAAACCAAGTCTATTTAACCTGTCATTTTTGTGTATTTTTTGCAAAATGCTGCTTATGTACTTCACCAAGGAAGCAAACGGTCCTAAAATCTAATGCGTAGGTTTTGTAGGGAACGTAAAATGAGACACTTTAGATGAGCGAAAGTTTATCATTTCATCGTCGTGTGGGGCAATTTTCATGGGCTTTGTTCCACAGGATAGCAGTAGGAAAATTTAAGTACATTTTTACCATGCTTTAATTTACTTTTCGCAGATACACTCAGATTGAGTTTGCCAGTTATCCGTTGAAATTTTTGGGTCAGAGATGGCTAGTAAATGAATCATTCTAATTAGCTGATCGAATACGGGAGCCGTTTGATCGTCTTTTCCTCACACCCTCACACATGAACTTTCATTTTCAAATTTGTCCGCCTGCGCACAGTGGGATACACGACATGCAGTTTGTGTTCAGTCGCATATGCAATCAGGCGACCTCACTGCGCTCTATGTAGATTCGAGGGGATGAGACTTAAGGACGAACTGCAGCAATGTGCAAGCTTTGCTCTACGTTTATTTTCAGGTGCTCAGTGTCACATTAGACTGGCCAACGCACATCTACAGAAGTAACTCACCGGAAGTTTAAAATGTATACAATCCAAAGAATCCAGTGCCAACAAAATGCTCATTCGAGAAAAACTTCAGCACGACACAAGATTCATACCATTCGATGTGATATCGGTTGTCAGCGGTCTGTTGATGACACAAGCGTCGTTTTGGATAGGTAAGCAATTCCATTGGGTAACAACTGCGTAATTCTACGTAATCTCCCATACGGGCGTCAGAGCACCTGATATAGAAGTGCAAATATGGGAATTTATTCGTGGTGTGGCATGTGAGGTAATCAACTTGAACGAAACTACGGTCAGACGCGTAGCTCCCCAGGCTTACTAGACGGTGCTGTTGTGATCAGGCTCAAAAATAATCTCAACTCATTCTGTTGATCATATAACTTTAAAGTTCCCTTTTAGATCTAGTCACATGTATAAAGCAGGACAGTATTCAGATTGAGCTCGAAAGGCATAAAGCATCAAAATGAAGTAAAAAGAGGACCTAGTATCATCACTTCCAAAATGGGTGAAATGTACCTAAATTTTCGCTGAAGAACACGTTCATGAGTTTTGAGTATGCGATATTTGCAGATGTGAATTCTCAACACAGGAGTGATTCATGATGAACTGAGACTTCCTAATGAAGGTACAGATTTTCGTACATGCTTTCATTGAGCGACGGTTACCCTAACCACAGGTTTGCATGCTGCATATACGTTGTGACGTTGTGCACATAGTCTTTGCGGATTATCATGGTATAGAGTGGTTATCACTACTGGTTTGGGGTCGGAGTAGCTTAGTTGGTAACATATGGGTATTCCGTTGAATGAATAAATTGAAATTCCTGGGAGGTCACCTTTAATTTGGCTGCTGGTTGGTACTTTAAAATACGTGTACACATGTCGTTTTTTTCATTAAAAAGCAGTTTAAACAAACTTCACTACACTGCGTGAAATTATTCCGTCGTATGTGGTACTTTTACCAAACAGAGCTAGCGAGTTACGCCAAAAAATCGTGTGTGATAACAAGGTTTGAATAGATTCATGAACTTACGTCTTTGACGCACTTTCCACATCAAATTCGAGAAATTCGATCTCGATTTTTCTTACATTATTCCCGGAGAAACGATATTCACATGTGATGTCTATGGGATAGAGGCCTGGGTAATTTGGCGAAGAGAAATTCCCCTTCGTCGCCATCGAGAGATTGAACTCAAATTGGCATCCTTGACGAAAACAAAAGAAAATAACAAAATACCAGAGGCGCTTCTACCTTTTGAATTCGACACAGCAGTCCGGTGGATCTGACACAACTGCATCTCTAGTGAGGTGGAATATGACCAAGGGGCTTTAGAGCTTTTTAGTGTGTCCACCGTCTCTATGACATTTATTAAGAAATGAAAAATATCCCGCTGGTATATTAGGACACCGTCTGAGGTGTAACCCGTGGCGTCAAAAACATCGTGCAGCTAGCTGTGAAATGGTTGAGATGATCGAAGAATATCATGCCTACGAGATTTCGTCATATTGCTTGACAGACGTGAGGTTTCCAACTCTTACCAGGAGGTTAGGAGATCTCGAACATGCCCAAGATGCGTAGTTTCCAAGAAACGAACCAGGACAAATTCCAGAATTTTATACCTCAACATGTCATTAAGTTTATATGGAATTCCACACTATTGTTCAGTTGTTGTATGTGATTCGCTTCATACGTTAGATGAAAATTGTAAAAAACCGATGTATTTTCCAGAATGAATTTTGAATGCTTCCCCAAAACACATTTTACACCACGAGGACCTTTATTGGTATCAATTTAGCGTCAGTCCATAAGAGCTTCAACGACAAGACTAATCTGTGTTAATCCATCCTCCCGTTTGTCAACGTTCCCCAAAATATATGGGTAAGATGAAGGGTAGTTCTGAGGATTACTAAGCACATAGCATCATCTACGATGCCAGACAGATGAAACCGCTTAACGTGAGAGCTTGTACTGCAGTCGACCGATACTGAAAACTGAATTCATTCAACCAGTCCGTTTGGTGCAATCTGAAGCTCAGCGTCAGAACGCTGGGGCAAGATGTAATTCCAATGGCTGAGGCATTACAAATTTCAACAACGACAGCCAACTCTTCGCTACTACAACCGTCTCGTATAAACGTTGGCCCATGGGCGGCGTAGCAGCACCACTTAAGCTAAAGTGATTTCAACAACCAAACGCAAACGGGTTCTAATTTTTTTGGTAGGGTTTTGGTGATTAATGTTATTTCCACATACTCAGTCCGGTTGAATTGCTCGTGTTTATTAGCTCATGGGCAGGCCATACCAAAATAGCACGGTGCGTAGGAATGTGCTCCAAGATTTTGCACTGTAAATTAAATGGTCATTTGTCACAAAGTTAATAGACTACATGCAAATTGTTACTAATGTCACAGGATCGTAACATGCAAAACTACTGGTTGAAGTGAAATTTTCGATAGGGAGCACTCCACGCTTTGATTGCGCTCGAAAATAATAAAACAAGGACATTTGATAAAGCCATGTTATTATTTCTCAATGGAGAAGCCAACCCCTAATAGAATAGCAGTGAAAGTCTGATATACAAAGTTGAACTGATTTAAATAATGAAAACGCGAGTCCCCCTGATTTCAGATGGAGATGTTGAAAAAAGAACAGTACTAATTGAATAAAAATGGCCTGAAATCTTTCACCAGTTAAATAATTAAAAGAATTGAAAGAATCAGGTCTCGTTGAAAAAATGACGAATAGAACAATGGCGTATGAACTATTAAGTCGCTTGCGTCCACTTTATACTGACAAAATGATGTCTTGGAAAGAACCAGATGCACTTTAAGCCTCTAACGGTCATCACATCCCTCTTCCAGTTTTAAACTTTTCAGAGGTGTATGTGGTGCATGTGGACGGGGCCTAAGTACGTTCATTCATTAGAAGTGAAATGCCTAAAACTGTTTTATAGACCTGCTATTTACCGTATCACGCCGCTTTTACCAAACAATCCCTTGACCAACAGTGGAATAACAAGAAAAATAGAGCCAGACGACGACCGAAAGCCAGGTCACGATTAGGTCTGGTCTGAAGCAAATCATTGACTTATATACTGACAGATTGGTTTTTGGCCTGTTCCGAGGAATATGATCTTGACATTCCGTGACAGTTTGTTTACACGACGATTAGTCTGAAGTCGTATCTCCACTTTTCGTGATTACATTGTTTTCATTAGCGGTATCCGGCTGTTTCTATCAAGCGTAATATATGTCCACTCTATTTGGTTTACCCACGACTCTCACGAATGAAAACTTTGCTTTTTTCTGTAATCATCCCTGGGGGGATCACAACCCTGGATACTACCTACTGGCTACTTTCATCGGGACAAGAAACTGTAAAGCGTTTTGGAGTCCTCAGTGTTGCTAGCTGAAGATCGTAAAACGGTGAGTAGTGGATCTGGGCACCACATTACTTCTGACATAATTGATTTATTCCTCTCATGTACCAGGGGGTTTGTCTGAATGTGAAAACCGTATATCTTTGACTATCTTAGATGTGTTCTTGTGCATAAAGCCCAGGTATTCAGATTGTAGGGTTATTCAAACCGGTTATGTGCCTAAACGAAATGGAAGCCATGCGATAGTTACCCTCAGGGGACAATCGATAACATCGTAAACATGAAGGTGCCCTTCAGGAGGATATTTTAAAATCAGCACGCCTGAAAGGCATACCCAGATTCAATTTTTTATGAACGGTATCTCTACTAATGAGAACAGATTGTCCTAGGTCACTCAAAGGTGCCGCGCGGCCCACAAAACGTCAGAAACCAATAGGCCACACGGTCAAGTCATGTAATGCTTTGAAAGAAACAAGTATATTGTTAAACACAGTTGAATCGATCCACTTTCACAAGTATTCTACCTTTGGAGTACACTATCCAAGATAGTGAAAAAGTAAACCTCATGGTATACTTTGTTAAGTGGCCATTGCGCGAAATGAACACGTGGCTGTCTACATGGATCGGTGCGAATCGAGTGAGGTGCCGGAAAGCTGAGAATGTTTTGACAATAAGTTGTACTTATGACAGATACATTGCCGCATACGTGGAACAATTATTCTGATGTCAACCTTGAAGTAACTAGCAGTAATAATCTTAAGCTAGATTTTGATTCGTCCATGAGAGAAGTTTCATAGGGACAAATACATTCATTTGCAAATCAAATCACGGGAGACTCAACTGAATTTCTCGTTCGTGATATTCTTCAGTTAAATGTGCTGCACAAGGGCCATTTTATGTTTCGGCTGGTACGATATTCGAGATTTCACAGTATATTTTAATAAAGGAAGCTACTCACTAGGCTGCTGAAACTTCTCGACGGCCTACGACTGGTTTTGTCCTTAATTCGGCTCATCAGGTAGTTTGGTGAAAAATAAGGGACTGCACCTAACTGATGAGCCCCAAGAAGGACCGCCAAAATTTTTCCAGCACTTTCCTTTGTGAAAATATACTGAAAAAACTCGATTATCCTGCTAATTGCCGCATGAGGTGACATTTGTGCAGCACATTCAGTTGAAGGGTAGCATAAACGGGAGATTCAGTTGAGTCTCCCTTGAAAACTAACTTGATATGCAAATGAGCGTACTTGTCGAAATCAACATAATTGTCCCATTTTTTCTCATTGAAAAGCTGACCCGTGTTTCCGTTAGGACGACTTTGAGTGATCGAATTACTTTCGTGGCAACTTCGGTTTTACTCATAAGCTACTGCTGGAGGTGGTTGCAACATATCATGAAATTGTAGATAAATTGGGGATATAATACTCACGTATACCCACGTAGTTGAATTTAGGGTATAGTGATGCACTATCATCTTTGTCGCTTGCTGTGCGTCAGTAATTGGCTCCCAATTGACCAAAGTAGTTCAGAGGTTGTGCATCAAATACGCACGATCGATTGCCCTCTGAATTCTACGGAAAATAATGCTACCTTTTTAAAAGAGCAAATGGCGAAATTTTGAACGTCTATCTTCCACTAGGTATGCGCCGCATTCGTTGCTTTAGAAAATTAGGATTCATCTCCTAGTCCATCGACAGAATATCTGAACCAACATTTGCCCACGGAATCGGGTACAGATACTTCTCGCAACTTTATCCATACGACTGACAAGACAAAAACTGACTATTTAAACTTAAACGATTTTTATTCTTTTCAAAGTCCAAGATGCTACTCTGACCATTATGTGGATCACGAGGGCAGGTTAAGAGTAAATTTTGCCCTCGGGAATAATGCACAATTATATACGAAACCGTTCGAGCTTTAGGTTGGGGAACTTAAATGCATGAGGTCATGTGTGGCCAAACAGTACGAAGCAGAAAGTTGCCTTCAGGACCATGGCAAAGTAACTAATTATTGAAGTTCCCTTGGCCTTTCAGTCCTTTCCTGACAGACCTGACGACGTATCATGCTTCTTACCGGTTCCGGGTTACCTGTTAGCCGCTGACTGACTAACACTCAAGCATTTTGATACGATGCTTGCACTCACATGCACCAACTGACCGGTTTGTATCATTGGAAACGTGAATCAGGTGCCACGTTTGGTTTAAAAACCCGTGAATAAACCACAACTGTAGGAGTGAGGAATAACCGAACAGATTGGTCTGGATGACCATCGATCCTCAAGAGGGATCTGATGATCAATAAGGACATAGTTCATTATTTTTCATCAAAAGTTTACATTGAGTGTGTAATAAGTTTGATAGAATTCTGAAAAGGCCGGCTATTGAGACTTTGATGTAGGCAGGGAGAGGATTCACCGAGAGCCCTAGACTGATCGATGATCCGGGCGATTCCAAAAGGCTTCACATGACTGGGATTTGCCACAACCTAACTGACACAAGTCCGGTGAAATTCCAATACCATTTTCAGTATCCATCCGTAATTGTTCATCAAAAAACGTGCTTCTCGCTGTTAACGAGAGGTCTTCTTGTCTTATGACTGTCTGGATTAATGTTCACACCAGAAGGATGAGGATCATGCTGACATCAAAAAGTATGTAAAACGACGCACAAACTTTGGCAATTCCTCATTGGAATGGCTAGTTTGAATAACAGCCGATGAGTGATGTAACATGGTGTAAGACGACTAAGCAAACAACCTAGCGTTGAGTAGGGTCAGGGTAAAATCACATTACGAAAAAA